GCCCGTGGTCACATATTGATCGTCAGGAGGAAGCCGCTCTCCACAACGTTCCCAATATAATCTCCCTTTCAGCACTGACAACAATCCTTTCCAGCACTGCAACTCCTTTTGACAACAATCCTTACCAAGAGTGGCAGCATCTCATTCCAGCTGACCTCTCCACCACCTGACCTCCTCCCCACCTGACCTCCTCCCAACACCCTGACCTCCTCCCAGCACCCTGACCTCCTCCCAGCACCTGACCTCCTCCAGCACCTCCTCCCCAGCACCCTGACCTCCTCCCAGCACCCCTGACCTCCTTCCAGCACCTGACTTCCCAGCACCTGGCCTCCTCCACACCCTGACCTCCCTCCCACCCCTGACCTCCTTCAGCACCCCTGACCTCCTCCAGCACCCTGACCTCCTCCTCCAGCACCCTGACCTCCTCCCAGCACCCCTGACCTCCCAACACCCTGACCTCCCAGCACCTGACCTCCCTCCCAGCACCCCTGACCTCCTCCCAGCACCCTGACCTCCTCCCAGCACCCCTGACTACAGTACCAACAACTTATATTCATCTCACAAAGTTGGCCCTTCCATTGTCTCTCATAACCCAAGTTTATGACTAACTGTGTGTGTGTGTGTGTGTGTGTGTGTGTGTGTGTGTGTGTGTGTGTGTGTGTGTGTGTGTGTGTGTGTGTGTGTGTGTGTGTGTGTGTGTGTGTGTGTGTGTATGTGTGTGTGTGTGTGTGTGTGTGTGTGTACCAGGTGTAGTATGGACCCTATGATGTAAATATGAATTAATAAAGGAGAAAAATATAAAAGTAAAATAAATAAATGACCAGAAAGTAGGAATAATATTTGGTGGTGAGAGGCGAGGTGGACCACACAGGGTGGGGGGGGTCACGTCCGGGACTTCCACCTCAAGGGTCATAAAAGGTGTACACTCACTCCTTTACCTGTACTGTGTGTTACTGTGTGTGTGGAAGGGTAAGAGGGAGGGAGGGAGAGTGTGTGAGGACAGGGAAGAAAGTATCAGAAAGGGAGAGAGTATGGTGAGAGGAAGGGAAGTTAGGGGGTTTTTAGTGAAGAGAGAGAGAGAGAGAGAGAGAGAGTGTGTGTGTGTTTGTATGTGAGATTATCTATTTATTTAATCTTACTCTATCATTTTCTTCTTTAAACACCTTTCCTCTCTCTCTCTCTACTATAATCTTCGCATCAGTTACGAGTCTTCACATTCTAAACCACTTTAAAAAAAATTGTAATGTTAATAACTATATGAGACCTGTCTTTTTTCATCAGTGGACAGTAGACGGTGAAGGAGGAATGGGTGAGTGGACAGTAGACAGAATAATGGGGATGGAGGAGGAATGGGTGAGCCTCTCTGCCGCACGAGCCAGTTATTAACGTTCAAGTGGGTAATATCTCAGACCTGTTGACTGATGCGGAGGAACGGCGAGAGGAGGAGAGATAAAGTAGTTCCCTCTCCCTCTTTCTCTCTCTAATACAACTAAGTATCATCTGCATTTCAGCAACAGAGATGAACAGTAGCGACAACAGTAATCACAGCAAAAACGTAAACGATGAAATAACAACAACGGCAACAGAAACAAAAGCAATCAACGGTAATACAATATCATTATCAACAACAGGAGGAGCAGTACCGACATGGATCACAAGACAAACAGTAACACAACAACAGAAACAGCACCAACAGTAGCAACAGTAAGAGAAACAACAGTCAGTAATCCGCAGTGGACGTCCGCGGTGAGGAGGCCCTGGGTCATTACTTAATGTGGGAGTCAAGACGGAAGAAGTCGTCCAGGTGAGCCGCCCCTGCATGTTGATGACCCCGTCGTGTGTTGTAGGAATTTAGCGATTGTAATGTCGATGAGGTTTGCTGTTGTCTGTGGGAGAAAAGATGGGGGAGGGAAGGAGGAGGAAGGAGGAGGAAGGAGGAGGTGGGAGATGGGTAGGAAAGACGAGAGTTAATGAGGTGGTAGAATGGAGAGAAATTGAGAGGGTTGGAGGAAGTTTTGGTGGGGAGGAGGTGGAGTTTATAGGAGATGAGGGGTGTTCTCTGAGGAGGGGTAATAAGTGAGGGAAGATGCATAGAGGAGTTAGGGAGAGGAAGGGGGGGGGAGGGTCAAGTAGTGAGGCAAGGAGGTGAGAGATGGTGGTCTTGATGAGGAGTGAGAGAAGGGTTAGAGATCCTAGGAAGGGAAAAAAGGTGAGGAAGGTTCGGGCGATGGAGGTAACGGTGGTAGGGATTAGAGGAGACGAGGTGGGGGATTGCAGGGAGTGAGAGGAGGAGGAGGAAAGCGATGGAGAGGATTGAGAGGACAGGGGGAGAGATGGAGAGGTTTGTCAGATGAAGAGAAAGAGGAATTCTGTTCAACTTCTCAAACAGTCATAAACACGTCAGCCTCCCAACACCCTCTGACAGGTTGTATATATGACAACAACTCGGCCCAAATATATATATATACGACTTGAAGACGACAACATCGACAACAGCGTAATAATTAAGTAAAAACAATTATCGAAATTACGCGCCGAGTTTAATATCCCCAGGTGCTTCTCTACGCTCTTCACACACACACACACACACACACACACACACACACACACACACACACACACACACACACACACACACACACACACACACACACACACACACACACACACACACACACACACACACACACACACACACACACACACACACACACACACACACACACACACACATGGACGAATATTTGATACTCTAAGTGTCTCTCAGTTTATTTTCACTTATTTTTAATTGCTTGATTATTTTACTTGAGAACGAAGACTACGATATTAATTCCTGTATACAAAGTGTAGTGGTGGTGGCTGGTGGTGGGTGACAGAAGTAGTGATGCTAGTAATGGTTGTGGTGAGGAAAGAACACAACAAGGGGTCACGTCTGGCCATCATACACTATCAACATCATTATACAAATAAATAATCACTAAAATTATTCATCTTGGGGTAATAAACATTTGTCCTCCCTCATAAATATAAATGTTTTAATCTTATGTCATCAAATTCCCTTTAAACCTAACTAATAACTTGGGTGTTACGTCTTATGGTATGCCGATAAACGATCTAAGCTCATGTAGGTACGTTGAAACCTCAGTCTTCAACACAGAAAACAAAACACCATCGATAGTCTTCAACAACACTCATATACTGGTTATGGCTGTGAGAGAGAGAGAGAGAGAGAGAGAGAGAGAGAGAGAGGCATAGCGGAATTTCAGCTACTCCTGTATCTCACTACGCTATGTATGAAATCTGAACAACGCGCGGGTGTAGCAGTATGGGGTCCGGCTCCATTCACCATCATACGAAATTCCTAAATTGTACCGCACGTTTCCATAATCGATCAGGGGTTGATAAAACGCTCACGGCATGATCTGGTATATGCTATATTAGATCGATAGCTGGTTGTGAGGCTTTATACCCGAACAATAGATGAACATTGGTTAATCTACAGTAGGTATTGTAACGTGTTTTACGTATTCATAAATTACACAACGATACTGTATTAAAAGCCCAGATTTCGATAATACAGGTACGGATATAAGTAGAGGAGCAGGTATATTAATTTCCATAAAGTTAGGATTTATACAGTGACCGCATCTACCGCCAGTAGTGACCGCATCTACCGCCAGTAGTGACCGCATCGACCACAACCTGACCAGCTCCTGCAGTGAGAGAGATAAAACTGCACAACAAACCACTGATAAGGAAAACAAAGGTAACCCGGAAATAGCCATAAGCTGCGTTAATGAGGAGCGCGCGGCAAGCTTGGGTAAGGTTACACTGAGACCCAGGTGTTGCTTCAGGCGGGCAGCTAAGCCGACATTCTATGATGGACAAAAGAGACCGGGTAGATGATTTACTATATTAAAACCTGACTTAACTAACTATAATCTGACTTAACTATAATCAGACAACTATACTCCGACTTAACATATTCAAACAACTATAATCAGACTTAAATATAATCGGACTTAACTATAATCTGACGACTATATTCTGACTTGACTATATTCTGACTTAACTAACAATAACCAGACTTATCTCTAAAATAATACTGGATTAGATTAAGTTTTTGTCTTATATACACTTCAAATACCAGGGTTATTATTTTTCATGTGTGGAATCTCAGTGTAAAGGGCGTTTGTTTATGACTTTCCTATCATTCACATTTCATCCCACTCGGCGCCACACACCTTCCCGGCCATCTCATATGATACCCTCACCAACAGCAGGTCGGTCTGTGAGTCCCGTGGCTGCCTGCACTAACACAAAATCACAGGCAATCAATGTTGTGTAAAAACTTGACGAGGCCACCCTAAGGATTTTTTGTCCCTCACGAATAACCATCCAGTGAAGACTCCCCTCCCTCTGGTGTATAGTGGCTCAGGATATACACATGACCTTGGTGTATATCTGTTCTGTATACTGCAACTCCACATTGTTCACGAATATACGTAAATATACCACAGTCTCTATACACTACTAAGCTTCGTCTTTGTATATGAGAGAGTCCAGTAAGTTTTTTCTTCTTTGTATATTTTTTTACGAGAGATATTTTTTTTTTATTCCTGCTCATCAGTGCAAGTTGAGATGAGGACGTGTCTTTTTTTAGGGTGAGTGATGATGCTGCGTCTCCTGGCTGATGCTGGTGAGAGAGAGAGAGTACTACAGTGTGTATCAGGATCACTACACTCCCTTGCTCACGGTAAAATTCAACCTCTGATGAAACACTGAGTAAGTCTCTCTGTTATAGAACTTTTTAAAGTGTTCATATCAAGGCTTTAAAGTTGACACGATGCTAGTTTTGTAACGTGAGTGAGTGAGTGAGTGAGTGAGTGAGTGTGTTCATTGTCTCTTTCTCACGACTTTGTTATCATCACTAGAGTTCTGAACGCCACTCCTTCATGACCAAAATGACACAGGTGAGAGTTAATCAGTTAGGTACTTACCGTGTGCCCAGATGCTGTAGCTGCTGTCGGGATGTTAGCTTGATGGGGTTGTTAGAAAGTTGTGGTAGAAACAGTAGTTGTTGCAGCGGTAGTGGTGGTGTTAATTTGCTGGGGCTGTTGGCAGGACGTGTGGAAAACTGTGGTAGTTGTGGTGGACGTGATTGCATTTGATTCTGTGGAAGTATGTGGCTATCTGACCAAACCCGGGTCTCTGGTAGTGGCTGTGGTTGAGTCTGTGGTTGTGTTGGTGGTTGTGTATATGAGATGAACGTCTGCCTGGGGGTAAAGAACACCACCACATCTCCAGGCAGTGGCGACTCATCATCTACACCCACGTCATCTGTAAAGACAAAATTAAATAATCAGAGAAGAAATAAACCCCCACAGTACTTGAAGTAAATTAACAGGAGCTACCAACCACATAAAATAATTCCCCTGATGAGTGACCGTAGTTTGTCAGAGGAAACACGTGATGTGGTAATATAATGGATATTCATTTAATTTATGTATTATATTTCAGAACAAGTTTGTAATTACAGTTAGTTAAACATAATACTGTGTGAGGTGTGTCAACGTGTTACCTGAGTCTACCTGATGGAGTTTTTATTTTATTGTTATTTACTGAACCAAAATTATATTCAACCCTTTAACCCAGCCAAATATATCCTCTTGACCACGTATATTGGAACCTCGTTGATTATAACACGAAAAGGTTTAACAATAATAACCTATAAAGACTATTTTGATGTTTCTTTAAGTTATAATTTGTTCTTTATGTTAAAAAGCGAATAAAAAACCACTTTAAAATATCTGGTCTTAAATTGTTGTGTGTGGTACTTCATCCAGGCCCAAGACACCCTCATAGATCTGACGAAGGAAGGGACAGAACCTCCTAACCTGGTGGCCTCTATCCCTCACCAGGAGTAGGTGTAGGAGTGAGGGAAGAATGAGAGGTGGGGGGAAGGGTGAGGGATAGGTGAGGGAGAGGTCATGGAAGGGTGAGGGAGAGGTCATGGAAGGGTGAGGGAAGGGTGAGGGAGAGGTGAGGACTGCAGTGGACGCACCATTTAGGGCAGGGAGGGAGGTGAGAGAGGAGGCTTGTCAAACACACCTCCTTCCACTTGGTCGCTTCAGGTAACGAGGCTCCACACACCATCACACCACACTACCACACACGCCACATCACCACACCGCGCCACACAAACACATCACACCACACTACCACACCATGACTCACTGTCACACCACGACACACCACGCCACAATACCACACCACACCACACACCATGCCTCACTATCACACCATGCCACACCACGCCTCATTACCACATCGCGCCACATTATCACACCACACCATAGTACCACACCATGCCACAGTACCACGCAGCACTACCACACCATGCCACAGTACCACGCAGCACTACCACACCATGCCTCAGTACTACACCACGCCACACTACCGCACCACGCCACACTACCGCACCACATTGAAAGATTGATGATGAGGTGTCAAGGGGGCGAGAGAGAGAGAATGAGGGAGTGTAAGCCTGCCACACTATACTTACCTCCCTCCCTGACCCTCCCTGACCCTCCCTCCCAGACCCTCCCTCCCTGACCCTCCCTCCCTGACCCTCCCCTCTGCACTTTTCTTCACCCCTACTACCTGATTATTCCCATCTTTATTCCTTCGTCTCTAACACCCTGCTTCCTCTAGAGACTCTCAGCCCGACCCAAAGCCCTTCATAGTCTGAGGTCGAGCCTGAGCAAAGAGGGGCTTCCGGCGGTCCAGTCCTCAGCCCTCAGCCCTTGGGGAAACAACGAAGCCTAAAAAAAAACTTTCCTTCCTCCCCTCTCTACTCCCTCACCACCTCTATCCTTCCCCTCCCTCCTTCCTTCCTTCCTTTCCTTGTTCCCTCCCCCATTTCCTCTACGCCCTCCCTCTTCTCCCTCACCAGCTCCTCCAAGGTTCTAACGCCCATTACAGGGAGGTACTGAGCGTTAACAAGTACACGAGGGTGCGACTACACTCTTACCCTAACTACACCTTCATTACTCTCACCACTCACACAGTCGCTACACGCACACAGTCGCTACACTCACACAGTCGCTACACTCACACAGTCGCTACACGCACACAGTCGCTACACACAGCACACAGTCGCTACACACTCACACAGTCGCTACACTCACACAGTCGCTACACTCACACAGTCGCTACACGCACACAGTCGCTACACGCACACAGTCGCTACACGCACACAGTCGCTACACGGACACAGTCGCTACATTTTCACGACCAACTCCAGTTCAGTATGAGGTGAGGAATGAAGCAACGAAGCAATAAATAAAGCAACTGAACGAAAAATGAAGCAACGGAGCGAGATGTGAAGCAATGTAGCGAGAAATAAAGCAATGGAGCAAGAAATGATGTAATGAATCGAGAAATGAAACACCGAAACCAAAAAAAAAAAATAATGAATTGACGGAAATAGGAATGAAGCAATGGAATAGAATGAAACACAGGGCCGATAGTTGAAGCAACGAAGCGAAAATAAAGCAACTTGGTAAAAAATGAAGCAACAACAACAAAACCAGTAATAATAATAATAATAATAATAATAATAATAATAATAATAATAATAATAATAATAATAATAATAATAATAATAATAATAATAACAAAAGCAGCAACAATAAAAATAACAATAATAACAACGACAATAACAATAATAACAACGACAATAACAATAATAACAATACTAATAACAGTAACAATAACAACAACTCACAACCCCACAAACAACTTCTAACCAATAGATATATATCGTTCCCTCAGATCTCTCAAACAGCCAGTCATCAGCCGAGTTCCTATCACCAAGAACCAGTCATCAGCCGAGCTCCCATCACCAAGAACCAGTCATCAGCCGAGCTCCTATCACCAAGAACCAGTCATCAGCCGAGCTCCCATCACCAAGAACCAGTCATCAGCCGAGCTCCCATCACCAAGAACCAGTCATCAGCCGAGCCCCCATCACCAAGAACCAGTCATCAGCCGAGCTCCCATCACCAAGAACCAGTCATCAGCCGAGCTCCCATCACCAGGAATTATCATGACAGGACCCGGAATTAAAGAAGTATCGGTTTATCTCTCTGATCACGAATTATGAGGATAACTTACGTGACCAGGAATTATTGAGCCATAAGTTAACATCCTGAGACACGACCGGGAGGGTGTGTGGGCGAGCCAGGGATATCAGTTTTAGTTTCCATTAATTTCAAGAATGATTAATTGGTGATGTTTCAATTTTGTGTTTTTTTTTGGTGAGTTTTGATGTTCTGTCAGGATGTATTGTAAACTTGCTCAGAAATAAAGTATCTTGATGATTTTGTGTGAGACAATGTGACAACGGACGAAGGATATTGACAACCCTACCGAGACAACGAGTGTTACATTCTGAAATTCATCGGTCTCTTCCGTATAGATGCCCTTTAGAAGCGAGTTACTAACCTACTATAACCTAACATTAACCTAATATTAACCTAACCTAATCTAAGTATATTTTAATTATGTTACGATAATAAACAACATAATAAATGAAACAAATTGTGCCACGCATGAACTAATTTCTATTAAATCAAAGTCATTAAAAAAGTTATCCATATTTATCAAAACCGTCATTTGTGTTGTAAGGTTTAATTGCAATATTACCCTTGTTTAACCACACACACACACACACACACACACGTAATTATCGCCAGCAAGAACAGAGTTACTAAAACATAATATTTACTGATAAACTCTCATACTTAATCTTCCTTCATCAACAGAGTCCCATAGGGTAAAATATACGTTATAAATAATATATTTAACAAACTATAGTTAGTTCGTCATATAATATGTCTGTTCATTATCATAATATAATGAAAAATGAGACATAACGACTGGGAGTTTTATTGAAGGAAGGAATCATTGTATACACGGCGCCTGTATGTGTCGGGTGAAGGAGTTATAAGGTAGTGAAACACTCTAATGTTTATGTGTGTATTGTGAAACATTATTAAACAACAAAGGAGTTTTATGAAGGACTTACTGTCATAATGGTCGGCCGCCTCAGGTGATGTTTTCCTTAATGAGCTGCATATATATATATATATATATATATATATATATATATATATATATATATATATATATATATATATATATATATATATATATATATATATATATATATATATATATATATATATATATATATAGGTTGTGTTACAGCGCTTACACGTACAAATATAGATTATGGAAGACTGGAGTTAAGATGGAATTCTGGCACTAAATTAAATCAACAGCTTTTTGTTTTTATTAACAAATCTGTGTTGAAGATTACACGAACTGAAACTCGGGGATATAATTCATGTAAAAAATCTACAAATATTTTAACGTAAACTGACTGAAAAATAAAAACATCCATAGAAGAATTATCAGATACTAAGTTAGTATTTGTTAAGGCTTTGTTTTGAATCTTTACTATACAAACGACGATGAATTCCTCAGGCAAATCCACTAGTCAAAATTAACGTAGCTGAGGAGAAAAATTAATTGTTAATCTTGAATAAATCGGAGTAAATTATTTCCGTCCTTCTCTGAGAACTTACATCTGGCGTTTAAATAAGTAAATGAAAGAAAATAAGAAGGTGGAGTCCAGAGAGAGTAGGTGTGATGTATAGTGATGTTTCTAAGTCTGTCTCTCTGTCTGTCTGTCTGTCTGTCTCTGTCTGTTCATCCGTCCGTCCATTCATCCATCCATCCATCTATCTGTCTATTTACCTATCTATCTATCTATCAACGTGATTAAATAATACATCACAGTGTGGACAGTATCGAAACAGAATCAAGAATCGTGTAAACTTACATGACTTATACAAGTCTGAAGTGACGTCATGTCTGCTCTGTTTATAACTGCTGTGACAGGTGTAACTGGCAGTCTAATTACACCTGACCATCTTGTTTGTGAGATAATGGTCATTTACACAACAACAACAACAACTACACTCGCTTTACCATTCACATGTTACAACAATACTAAACAAGAAGCTTATGACAGTGACCTTGATCTCATCTGTCCTTAAGAATCAATAGGTATTTGTGTATTTATAAAGGCAAATTCTTCAGTAAAAAGTTCTTAAAGTTACGAGTTGTAAATATAATTAGGTTAGGTCGAGTTGTAAATATAATTAGGTTAGGTCTAGGTTAGGTTGAAATGAAAATGCAGACAGACAGACAGACAGACAGACAGACAGATACAATAAATATGCTATACCCTTTTATGTCATCAGGGTGTG